CATTTCCCATTTACTGACTTTGGAAGTGAGTGGCCTGATGTGCTCCTGATGGTTATAGGTCGGGTGTTGTGGGTTTGTGGCCAGGACAGGGCCAGGGAGTCCAGGTCCCTTTTTCTGCCTTTAACTTTCTGCGTGACCTTGGATAAACAGCACACACGTAGGTGCATGCCAGAGGTGCTGTGGATCTGGATTTTTTCACGGGTTGCTAAAATTGTGTCCTGAAGTTCACACTTTTACCCAGATAATGGACGAGGCTTGCAGAGGCTCAGCCTCTCGCCGGTGTAAATAGCAGCAAGGAGGTTCTGTTACTTTGCAAAGCGAGCTTAAGTCCCTCAAGGGGAAAGAATACAGAGTAATTACCAAGGGTTATTAGTAAAATTACCTAATTATACTAAGAACGTGGTACTACTAACAAAGCTTTCCTGAGGATTGAATGTCCCATATATATTTATAGTGCAGTTTATGCAGTTGTTTTATAGTGCAGGTTAGCTCTGTTTGTACTGTATAGAAGGGTTCTCTGTGACTTTTTTTTTTGAGAGGAGTCTTGAGCGAGCATTCACTCTGCAGAAAGAGCTAACTCATTAACATTGTATTTGGTTAGTTTTGCATGACTGTGTTTAGGAATTGGTTTCTTTGAATACACAGTTTAATTCCTCTTTAGAATACATGCCTGATTTACCTCACWGCCTTTGGCAAGGCTGTATTCTGGGCTGGCTTTGTGCAGTGTTTCCACACAGGTGTAACAGGTACGCTGGTGCTTTGTTTTGGCAACAARGTTCACAATGTGACCGAAGGGGAATTGTAAAGATACAGGTCTCTTAAATACAGCAATGGGTGATACATGGCACACATCAAGGATTGTGGGCATCTCTGTGTTACACTTTTGTTTGACTTGCAGTGAGGAGGAGGAAGAATTTGTTTTACAAATGGGCAAAACTTGTCAGTTATAGTGTTAGTGAGGCTTTGTGTTTGTGTCTYGTGTATATTTATCAGTCTGAAACCACAGGTTAATCCAGACCATCTAAAACTTGTTAGATTATAACAGCAAACCATCAGGTTCGGGGCCTGAAATATGCCAAATAGGCTTTGTTGTCAGCCTATTCCAAMACTCAGCCTTTTTCATCCCCAGTGGTCCACAGTTCAGGTTTAAGCTGGTTTAGTCCTCATATCCAGGGTGCAAACATCAAATTTTAATAGCCAGTAATTTTCAGAATATGTTCAGCACATTATGCAGCATGATGTARAAGACTTACATATGAGGAAAAAGACAGGTTAATTATCATAAAGTGTTGGGCTGCTTTCCTTCATCCCAGTCAGCTGATACTGTTTAGGATGTTATTTCTAAAASTATAAACAGATTGGGAAAGACAGAGGATTGACCTAGATTTGAACAAAATAACCCAAATCTCTACACTTGAACCTATGGATTTTCACAAAACTCAAGGACACTAGAAATTGTATCAGGGGCTTCTAAAYATTGAACATTTACTCACCAGCAACACATAATCTTCTTTTTTCAGTCACAGGTGGGTTTCTATGTCTGCAAAGCCAGTTTTGCCACTGTTTCAAGTTAGAACTGTGTTGGTCATGWGCAAGATACACATCACTATTTTCACTAATTAGTAACTGTACTTATATATAGGGAAAGTACTCATCTTTTTTCTTATTAAAATAGTTGAGCTTCTGAAACTCTTGATTCTGTCAGGATGAAACTTGATATGCAGTTGATGCAGGAGGATGCCTGGCAGTTTGAGTTAGGATTTTAGTTTATGTGAGTATCTTTGATACTCAAACAGCAAACACAACTGCATTGCTGTTTGAAAAGCTGAAACTTGCTGCTCTGCTAGGAGTATGGGGAAAAGTTTACTGTCATCCCCAAGGAAGACAGAAGTCTTCCTTCCCAGACTGGCTTTTCTTTGCTTTTCATAATGTTGGTACGATTACTCTTTAACTTACTGTGATGAAGAGAAGGTTTTATTTCTGGATGTYAGAACATGTTACTGTACCAAAAATAGACCTAGATAAGTTGAGTGTGCTCAGACTGGATCATCAGTTCAGTAACACCAATTCCTTCCCAAAACCAACCAGTGGTACAGTCATACTTCTTCCATATTCAGAATGATACACAATTACATAGAGAAGTGTAAATGCAGTGATACCAGCTGAACACTTTCTGTCCCCTGGTGACATTTTATGTTTTTTCCAGTCAGAACAGTGACACAGGCTGTGACTGATGGGAGCAATGCCTTGATTGGTAACACATTCCTGCTGGCAGAGGTGCTGTTATATCCAGGGTGAAATAGGTTTTTGTTTGAATYGAGTGCTGTTGGAAATAGACAATTCCAGAGGATGTTTGAATCTGAACATTTTGGTTTCTAAGAAATTACTCAAAACCAGATAAATCMGTAATAGTCTTACAAGGCTTCCAKAGGACCAGAAAGTTCATAATGAAGRGGTTTAGAGAGAAGGAAACTCTGAGAGAAGTTACCAACTTGGTTTAAGTGGTCACATTAGAGGTTCTCTAAACCAGGCAATTAAATTGTGGTATCAGAAGTCTAAGCTTTACAGGTGAACAAAGTCATTTATTTGATTAAGTGTAAACGAAAAAGAAACGTGAAATGTAGATGATCATCTTGGATTAAGAAAATTCTGACTTTAGAAGCGWTGGTGGTTTAGGGTATTTTTCGTTTTTAGTGATGGACAGCTCATTTGTGTCAAAGAGATTAAGCCCTTGCACTTTCAGAATAGTCAAAGTACTGGAGACTTTGCTCATGGCTCTTGTCCAGGTCTCATCCTTGGTAGTTTAGGACTGAAGTGCAATCATCATATCAAGAATACTGTAAAAATAGTTAATTTCTAYGTTCTTTTCTGTGTGCTTTCTTTGTTTCTTTTTCTGAAGTTGTATTAAAGCATTTCTAGTTTGTTTTGATTATTTGTTTAAGTGTTCTGTGTTAAGGTTAAAACCTGCTAATTCTTTTGTGTAAGGCAGAGCAGAATTTGGTTYTCTTCTGGGTGAAATGCAGAAGTGTGAGATGGATTCTAAGGCTTTACAATTATGMGAGAATTGCTGTCATCCATGTTCAGTATAATTAAACAACAGCTTAAAAGCTTCTAATGTGGTGAATTGGAAAATGTTTATTAAATCTTCCCATTTTGAGATGGGATGCAACTGTTGAGKGTGACAAAACAAATGATCTAATATCCGTTTTTAATGCTTTTGCAGCCAGAGTTGGGAAGACATCACTAATTATGTCTCTTGTCAGTGAGGAATTCCCAGAAGAGGTAGAGCACTTTTATTTGTTTTCTAAGTTTTATTTCTATCCTGTCATATAATAAATTAATAGACTCTTCTTTAAAGTAATGCTTTAAAACAAAATGAAGCTTAAAACTGCAAAGATGCCTTCAKGAAGAGTGATGTAGGTTAGTTTAAATATACGTTTGCATGAAGATTAGAAGTTTAAGTTTTATTTACGTTCCTTATTTTTCACATTGTTAATTAAACTAATTGTTGTATATGTGATGAATGGTAGGATTTTTAAGGAGCTGTGACTAGTTCAAACTGGCAGCATATTTCAACATGAGAGACTCATAAATGAGAAGGTGGTGAAAGAGACAAGACCATCAATTTTTGGGGGGGGGGGTGTTGCATTAAAAGAGCAAGTAGATTGCAAAATCATTGAGAATGAGGAATTAAAAATTCATAATGAATAATTTMTACTTGGCCATTTTTTTTGTAATTAAGCAAGATATTGCCTTGGCTTCTGTCTTTGAAGAATGGTTTACTGGCTGTTGAAGTAAAAGTGGCAGAAAAAGCTACTTCTACATATTATTCCTTTAAAAAAGCAGCACATAGTTTTCCTTATACCATAAAAAGAACCACAGCTGCTGCAAATWCTTAATCTTAATACATATAAACATGAATGTTTATTTCTTCTGATCACAGGTCTTAAAATAGACATCATGTGCTACTCTTTGAATCTACTCTGCTCTGTATGTAGTACAAATCAGTCGGTTTCCATAGTTCAGGAGTCAGGATTCGATTGTTAGCATAACTGGATTTTGTTAACAGTTGGATTTAGTTCCTAACCTTGCAGGTAAAAAGGAAGTCCAGTTCCTGTTGTTAAAGTGCTCAGGGACCTGTTCCTTTGGTAGGTTGTTTCTTAGTGTATTTATTGAGTTGTAGTCCTCTGTTCACTTCTCTGCTCC